AGAATGTTTAGGGTTGGAAGGGACCACTAGTGGTCATCTAGTCCAACCCCCCTGCAGTGAGCAGGGACACTGCTAACTAGATCAGGTTGCTCAGAGCCCCATCCAACCTGGCCTTGAATGTTCCCAGGGATGGGGCCTCCACCACCTCTCTGGGCAACCTGTTCCAGTGTTTTACCACCCTCATTGTAAAAAATTTCTTCCTTACCTCTAGCCTGAACCTACCCTGTTCTAGTTTAAAACCATTTCCCCTTGTCCTAACACATTAAGAAAAGAATTCAAGAATACCACCAGCAACGGTATCAACAGGGCAAACAATACTGAATGACTTTTCATGACCTCACGTTTCAGGACAAAGCACTACATGTACGCGCTATATTTGTAAGAGAAAAGATTAATTCGGGGTGTTTCTATTTAGAGCCCATCGTCGTTGGCTAAGCAAAGGGAACTCAACTAGAAGGCAGCAAGCCTGCAGGCTCTGTCCGAGGACTTCGAAATAGCTTTCTATTTTCTGTTACGGGAAAAATACTACGTAGTATTTCACAAATAATTAATAATCCGTACTTTTATCTTTAGTTTTTTAAAAGCAATGAATGCTAATTAAGGTAGAAGAAGGAACTGCTGCCAGAAAACTCAAAGTTTCTCACCAGTGGATCTGCACAAGCAGAAACAAAGCAGAAACTCTTTGCCTGGGTATCTCCAGCATGGATTTCTACATTACAGTAGCACACGAGTACAACATGATAGTCACTGAAGATATCTGCATTAAGGAACCATCAATATTCCTAATTTACAGACAGTGCAGAAGAGTCCCTTAAAAGTCACCATATGGGCCCAACATCAGAAGGGTAATGAGAACAGGGAAATAAACCCACATTTCCCTGGTCTCAGTCCAACGTTGTCATTAAAAAGCTTATTTTCTCTCTATACTGCATTTTTTCCATGTCCAGAAAATTGGCATCACTGCTTTGTGTGACAATTCTATCTGAAGATCGAAGTGTCACTGTTATTCATTCAACGTGGCTTCATTACAAACTTTCTCAGCTTCGCTTCCCAGTTCGAGAGAACACGAGCTGTAACACAACTTAAGGGAAGTACTCTTCACGTTTCCATGTATCTACAGGTAACCAGCAAACATAACTGGGCTTTCAATTTTATTTTCAGTAAACATTAATAAACCAAGCTTCATGATACAGAAGTCATCAATTAAAGGAAGACATGATATCGATGTTTTGTCACTTATTCCCCTTCACTCTACCCTGGATCAAACACCCCGCTGAACATGTTTTCAAGGCTGTAATAGCCCGTTGCCTGGCTATCACCAAGCCCTAACTCCCATCAGCGATCAGAGCAATGAAAATGATCGAGGATCACGTGAAATATATTGATTTGGTTCGTAAAACCGTTTTTAAAACATCTCAAACGTGTAAAGATTGTACCCTGTGAAGCAGCCCCGACAAATCCCAACCCTTTCTATGTTTAATCAAACGAGCTCCTCCAGTTCCCGTGGGGGATTTCTCCTGATGGCAAGATTCATGATCAAAAGTCACATAGTAAGGGAATAAAGCCATCAAAATCTGTAATTCAGAATAAACACCCAAGCTTCCAGATGCAAAGAATCCTCCATGATTAAAACTCTTAGCGCTGGATAATTCCATCCAACGGTCTATCAACATAAAACCCATAAAACCCCTGCGCCATGATGCACAAAATCCAGAATTTGGCTTCATTGCAGAAGTTTAGAAGCGACACCGAAGGGACACATTGAGATACCAGGGGAAACCTCACCCTTGCTTCGCTTCGCACAAATAGGACCTGGGCAGTAGAAAGCCAGAAGGACAGCCGATCCCCAATGAGGACCTGAATTTTCTATCAGTCCGGCCAGCTGGGGACCATGTTTTTTCCAAGAAATCAGCAACAAAAAGCAACACCTCCATGCCGTCTATGAGAAAGTGGTGGAGCAGGAGAGGAATGGCAAAATATTTCGCAAAAAGCACTAGCGCTCAGCTCTGAATTCTATTATCTACCACAAGGAATCAAAACCCACAGAAGATAAAGCAAAAACATTTATTTTAGGCCGAATTTGCCCTATCCGCTTACTCTATTTCTAAATGAATAATCAAGATGTTACTTGGCTCTAGACACCACGGGGGAATAAAATGTCACCGCCGCAGCTGCCAAATTTCCCGCTACCAGCCCTTCAAATTAAGGAAAAAACCCACAATACAAATGTACAATTTGATTAGTTAAAGTTCAAATCCTTGCCCAAAGCCCGGCTCTTCCTGTAATATTGCATTCTTTTCTTCTTGTGTAAACTTCTCATTATAACAGAGACATCTTCATAATATAATAATTCTGGTTACAATGTAACTGCGGGTAACATAACTCCTACATTAGAAAAGGCAGCATGCTCTAGTAATGTTGTTTTAATGTAATTTGTGTACTGCAGGAACTGACTGAACCTGGTCATTTAGGATTTGATCAATGTGAATTAGTGTCTTAAAGAGATGAACCGTTTGATAATTCAGGATTTGATCAATGTGAATCAGGACCTCACGGAGATAAAACATTTATCATGAACATGTGGAATATCAGTCTAATCCAGGCAGCGCTGCAGAAGGCAATAAGCAGGCATCAATAAGGACTGCAGACAAAGTACAGAAGACCTGCCAGTTCTCTGATGCCAGTCTATCTGGGATATTTGGTTTTTCCCTCTTAATGGGGTGAATTATCCTTAAAGACTGACGAAGCCACGGCTGATGTAATTTGAGGGACTAAGTGGAGGAAGGAAAAGGAAAATCCAGGAAATATTTAAGTAATTATCCACTTCTCTTTGCTCTTGAAAGAGATGTAGCTTAAAAGGTTGAAGAAATGCAAGTTAGCTCAGTAAAACTTAGGACCTAATTCTAGATGTGTTTAAAATAAAGTGCAACTATTTCGTAATAATACCGCAATTAGATCTATTAATCTCGCACTTAGAACCTGAAATCACACTGACGTGCAGCACATTGGTTTATGCATTAATAAAATTTAGCAGTTCAACCTTATTTAATTCTTCTTTTACAGCCAATTAAACAAGCTCTTTAAACACCATTGCTTGAAACTCTGTCCTCAATCCTCACATGCAATTAAACTGAACATGAGAAGTGCCTGGTGACACCAAAAGAGCATCATCTTCACTAAATCATTCATAATTTATCCATCGAGTTACATACAAAAGGCAGTGATAAAATAACATCTGCTGAATTTAAACCTTCAATAAAAGGACATGGCATTTAAAAGGATTTTATACACGGAAAACTTTTAAATTATAAAGTAATATTGATATTCCATGCACTTTGTCAAATCTACTGCAATATTTGCATATACTTCAGATATCTTTTTCTTTTCACAATGTTTTCTTTTTTTAAAGCAACGGACCAAACCAGGATCCACTAATCAAAAAGCTCCAAATAATTTTTCGGAGAATTTGGCTTGAAGTGCAAAAGAAGCAGAGCACTTTCAGTAATGGCATGACGGCGAAGACAAGTCAAATAGGTGCTTTCTATTTATACCTTCAGTCTCTAGAAAATTAAGAAAAGACCAATCTCATCAAGCATTAGGAATCTCTGATTCCCTCTCCAAATCCCTTTTCATTAAATACTCTTTGGTTTATGCAGAGAGACTGAAACATCCTTCAGAATTGCTTTCTTAAAATTCCTAGATATTGCCTGATGCTAAGGACTGGCCCCTGCTATACCTACCGGTGAAAAGAAACCCCAAACCATTTCATTTAGTTAGGAAATTATTTATATATTAGTTCTGTATTAGTGGGAAAAAAACACAAACACGAAACCATTTCCCACCCCTGACCACAATGACCACCGAGAGCTATCAACAACCACTTCAAATCACAATAAAATCTTGTTTTGGAATAATAAAAGTCAGATTAGGCAATAATTAGATGTCGAAACCTGAAAATACCCCACTGTAACAAAGGAAGGGGAAATACCCCCTTGATGGGAATCTTATCATGGATGACAAAAATGACAATGAGTAACGACAAAGCAGGCTGCCCATCCGTGATGGGAAACCCTCCAAATTATGCTTAAATCAGACCTTGAGCCAATGGTCACTCTGTCCCTCTTCTTTCAGGGACAGATGAATTCAGACCTCAGCACACCCTGCGCCATTAACCAGTACCAAGTCTTGACATACACACTAGAGAATATTTAACAATTCATGATATTAAGAGATAAGATGATTTTTATCTGACAGTTAAGAACTTTATTTATACCATTATCGGCAGCTCAAAAAGGCCTTTTCTCTTCTTGCTCATCAAAAACCATAACAAAACCCAAACCAAAAGAAAATCCCTCCACAAACCGAAAAATCGTCACAGAATAATTCTTTTTGTACAGCAGTTCTTGGTTACTGCTGAGACTAAAAGGTTGTAAAAAGTTCTCTCTGTATCCTTACAAAAATGATAAATGGAAGCTTCTCCCTAATGGATGAACCAGCAGAAAGGGAAGAGTCCAAGGCTAAGGGTCAGAGTCGCTTTGATCCATCAATTACTATATCTTCATTTAACCATCCTCAGGACTAATACAAATTATTTAATTTGACCTTCGCTGTTAAGGGCAAAGTGAAGTTGCTAATTTAAATCCTTTCACATCATGCAAGGACAGGGTGAATACTATTGTAATGCAAAGTTGGAACTACATTTTTGGTTGTCCATAATGGAGAAGAAGAGGAAAATAATGTTAAGGAATATACATTTTAGAATATTTTATGCATCTTACCAAATAGAAATTAATTAGTACATTACTAACTGCGCATCCAATTTCTATGCAGCTTATGGCTACCATGCACTAGCTATCAAATTCTTCAAAATTCTCCCATTTCAGTAACTGGCAAGACTGATAGGATCTACAATAGGGGGAAGGGGAATTATTATGAATTTTAATGTCGATAAGAACTCGTCTAAGCTGCCAGGCTCAAAAACAATAGCAGAAAAGACTTACTTGAACCGAGCTGACACTTCATCAGCAGCTTTTTGGTATTGCTCCGTGGTAACTTTGTAGAACTGGGCACTCTGGAAAGTTGAAAAAAAAAATAATTACAGATTTCATATAATATCATTTATACGCATGCTAATAGCTAGTAAATTATGCTAATTTGGGTATTTTCTCCCTTTAAGTTGCTCCAAAAAAACCCCAAACCTAACCTTCAAATCAAGTATTCTACCCAGTTTGAGAGATGACTTTTTTTTTGTTTTTTTTTTTTAAAATAAGTGCGTCCTCTTGGTTCTGGGAGGTTATGCAAAAGAGATGGCTCTTAGGGAAGAAACTGCAAAGAGACGTGGGGTAAGAATCACATATTTAGCGCTAGGTGCTGCTGGAGCCTTTGAAGCTTCTCTGTTAGAAAAAAAAAGAAGAAAAAAAAAATCAAAATACTGACTCCTTCCTTCTTCGCGTGCCCCTGTTTGCGTTACTTACACACACATCCCCATCTAGTTTGCAGCGATACTGGAGCCAAACTTCAAAGCTGCACAATAAATTAACTATGGCTTGACTTTCTCTTTTGCTCTTTGCCTTGATAATGTCTCTCGCAGCGAGTTATTTTAATATTCCAAACTTCCAGGTCGCTTTCAATCAGTTGCTAATTTTAATTTTTAAAATCAGGCAGCTTCAGAACCTATTTTCATCTCCCCTAGACCCAGGAGTGCCTTTCACTCCGTTACACCAAATCATTAATTTCCAAAATGCAGGCAAGACAAGATTGAATTATCAAGCAATAAAACTTTTCTATACTTAAAACTGGCAAAGTTTCTCAGTGGGACGTAGGATATTCAAAGACAAATCACTATAATGTTGTGATGCTTCATGTCTAGATAATATATACTTGGTATTTTTAAAGAGGTTTTTATAGCCTTAGCACAGTTGGACTTAAGATGTAATAACTAAGGCACCTGGCTTCACAGTTGGAGGAATAAAGAAAAGTTAAAGCAGTTCAAAAGTTCTCTAAAACCGTTTTTTAATCTGACTGGTGGGGGCAAACAGGCCGCGGGGATGTAGAAAGGTTTGCTTGGCACTTGCAAGAACTCTTCCGTAGCGTTGCAGCTCTGGAGTCATCTGGCATCCCGGGGAGCCACGTTAACGCGGCAACAAAACTCTTACAATCCCACGCCGCATGATTACATTAAAACCATTTGGAATCCATATTTTAACAATCTAACTATTAATACCATGGTTTAAAGTTATCCGTGCCACAACACCATTTCGCATCTTTAAAACATTCAACATAGACGGATGGCACAATGCAGTCCGCAGAAAGCGTCATCCCACTTTTATTTTGGGTGAAGGAAGCAGTTTTATTTATTTAAGACATTGATGTATGAAAAAAGCAATATGCCTGCAATGTTGTTATGAAAAAAAAAAGCCCTGTAACTGGAGAGATCACTCTTTCGTAAAAGTCAAAGATGACATAGTCCCCTTGACCACTGGGTTGGTAAACATGTCCTGAGCAACATTTATCTGTGCCAAATTATGTTATGAGGAATGCAGGTAAGCCAGCCCACTACAGCAAAAACACTTGATGGAAACTCCGCAAGAGGCAGCGCTAGCTACAAAAATAAAAGGAAAAAACCATTTTTCCTTCCCGTTTGAGGACCTCATCTTCTGAGATTCTTCCTCGTGCATTATAGTCTCGAAATCAGAAATCACTGGAAAAGAATACCAAGTCCGGACACGGGTATTGTACAGCAAGTCTAATATCTCACAATAAATTATAACAAATTGGGTAACATCCACCGCAGTCAAAGGTCACACACAGATCACAAAGAGCACGGTGGTCTACTGCACTCTTGCTTCTGAAATTCAGACCTAATAATTCATTTGTACTGGAATCAAGGTTTCCACGCATGTGACTGGGGGTCATTTATTTTTTCATAAATCACTGTTGGCCAGTAAGAAGATGAAAATGAAATCCTCCTCACACCAGTGACCCCCCTTGCATTTAGCAATCTCAGCTGCCCAATGACGGTCACATCCAGGTTCCTCGGACGTAGATGAAATCAATAGGTATGCGATTAGACAGCAGACTGACTACGGTGCGAGCGCGGACAGGTCACCATTTGAGGTGATGAATAGCTCTCTATCATCCTACAGTCCCCTACGATGCTAACATTTACTATAATCTTATTTGGGCTGCGATTTATCTTTCTTTTGCCTGATCAATAAAGATGAACACAACAGTTGTAAGGATCGATTGCAATTTTTTATCATTTTCAAGCTTGAAGGAGCATTTCTGACACAAAAACAATATTCCGCGTGTACTTGTTCTACTTTTTAATTGCAGTTCAAGTGATCAACTGAGCTGCTATATATGCCAAGAATTTTTAGTCCTACAGTAGACTCAAGCTATCAAGAAATCATTTGTTATCTTAGATAAAGTGTGCCGTGTTTCTTGGATGAGACCTTCCTTTGAAATTCATTCTGGTTCTCTTTTAGAGATATACTCTCGATAATCCACAGATGAAGTTTCATCGTAGAAGTCCTCCCCCCTAATCCTCAAGGTAAAAGTGCAGTGGTCATTTCTCTAAATAGAGAAGACAACAGTGCTATTACATAGCACCATTAACTTAACGTCCTCGGTCTCCAGATAAATGCATATATGTATTTATGTTGTCTGCATAATCACGTACTGTTCAACTCAAAGTGGAGGAAAAAAAGCTATGGTCCAATTCTCAGGTCAGCAGCAGCATCAGACCAGCGAAGAGCAGCTCTGGATCAGGCCTGTGGATCTTCACGAGTTCCAGCAGATACTCCCAGCTCAGCTCTTTTCTCCCCAAACTCTGCACAGGCGGGGAGGAGGGAGGGGAGGGAACAGAAACGCAACACCACCTACCATTCTGCATCAAGCACCGTGTGCATGAACGTACAAACCTCAGCTATTTTTATTACATTCCAGATACTCTCTGTATACTCCTAGGATTCTTTTAACGAAGCAAGCCACTGAAACGGTAGCAAACACTACAACCAAGCTCCCTGGTATCTTTGATTTGGGTCCCTCGGGCACATGCATTATAAAAACAGTCTTCCCTTACAGAGTTACACAGCATCTTCCCCTCTTTAAAGCCTTCTCTGTTGCTTTTCTAACAAAAAGATGGGTTTCTGCAGACCTTTACGCTCTCCTTTGTTGCACAAAGTACAGAATTTTTTAAAGAGTGTGACAGGAGACACGAGGAACTTCCAAGAGGGAACAGAAGTGTCAGGGTTATGGAAGTTAATCATCATCCCAGATATGCAGAAGATGCTATTTCTGTATCTGTTACGGAGTTCTTGCACGATGTGGGCATGTTGTTTGACTTCAGTATCAAAATAAAGCGGCAAATTCGGTTCTCGATGACTAAACCACAGCTTCTTCAAAGTCAGGTAGCCAGCATAAACTGATGGCTGAGGTGTGCTCCAGAATCACAGCCGTTGCTGGCTAACGATGGCTAGCGGTTGTCACAACAACCCCATGCAGCGCTACAGGCTTGGGGCAGAGTGGCTGGAAAGCTGCCCGGTGGAAAAAGACCTTGGGGTACTGGTTGACAGCCGGCTGAATATGAGCCAGCAGGGTGCCCAGGTGGCCAAGAAGGCCAATGGCATCCTGGCTTGTAACAGGAATAGTGTGGCCAGCAGGAGCAGGGAAGTGACC